GTGCGGGGCGGGCCACAGCCAGAGATGCAGCATAGTAGCCATTAACGTTCACCAAACAAACAAAAGGGGGCTAAGTACCCCCTTCTCGCCAAATCCAGAGTGCCTAGATTGAGATGATTTACATACCCACCCTAAAATGAAAGATGCCTTGCCGGCTTTCTCCCCCTGCTCAAGCAGTAAGCAAAAAGTAAAAGGCATAGATAGCTTTCTTCAGCTTATCAAGACAATTATCCTGTCTCTAGACAGTGGTCGAGAATAAATCTCCAGTATCCACTCACCCTCCGTGAAGCGTAGTCTGTCCCTTTCCAGCTCCCAGAGCCGAATCTGGTCGGTGATGGTGGGGGGCAGCACAGGCATCTGCAGGGGTAAGGAGGGCTTAGGAGTCAGGGCTTAGGAGGGCCCCATTCAGGCCCTCATCTGGGACAATCTTTTCTCTTGCCCATCACCCCACTGCCAGGTGCCAGGGGCTGGCAACCTCTGGCAACTTATTACCTGTTTGAGCATCACTGGGTGGGCCCTAGTCCTTAGGAAATGGATGATCTGGGAAAAAGACAAGATCAGGAGCTGAAATAAGAGGCCAGGAAGCAACCCAGCTGTCACTTAAGGTCACTGGGACAACTCACAGCCAAAAGCTGTCATCAGCTCACCCCATCCCCATCAGCTTTTGCCTGCTTTGCCTTCTCTGGCATATTTGCTCGCTCTTTCCTTTCTTTAAAATACCAACCACCATTATTTTTTGAGTACACCTACATGGGCGGCCCTGCGCTAACTGCTTTACTTCTGTTGTTGAAAGTCCCCAACAACCCTGTGAAGTGAAAACCCAGTATTTCCCTGCTCCACATAGGAAGCTGAGGCTCAGAGAAGTGAAGCAACTGGCCCATTTATGCAGCTAGGAACAGGCCCCTCCCGCCATGTCTCACTCTGAAGAGTCTGCCTGTTCCCACACCCTACTGTGATGAGCTTACAAAGTGACCACTGCACCCCAAGCCCAAGCACAGCCTGTCTTCCTGCCCCCCAAGTAGAGATACCTGCTGGGCGGTGATGCCACTGGCGATGGCCTGCTGCACGCTCTCCCGGGTCACCTGGGCTACCACCATATTGGGGAAGCGATAGAGCATCTCAGAAAAGAGGGCGATAAGGGCGATCTGCAGCTCCGACTCTGACCCAGGGACAGAAAGCGAGGGTGAAGGTCTGGCCCTTGCCCATACTTCCTCCAGCCCTCCCGCCAATGTGAGGAGAAATGGCTGTGCCTGATAAACCGCCAAGTAAACATGAATATACACTGCCATCCCCTCCTGCTTCCTTCCTCCCTCCTGCCACCCACACCAGGCTTGCTCCCCAAGGGCCCCTTGTCCAGCCTCACCCGTGTAGGCATAGAGTCGGTAATTGGTTTCCACAACAATGAAGCCTGGCTGATGCGTGGTGCCCCCAGCCCCAGAGACACCTGAAGAGAGGTTGATGGCCAGGCGTGTGGGGTAGTAACGCCGAGACTTCCTCTGGAAAGAGCAGAAAGACACAGGAACCTCAGGTGTCACTGCTCTGCATCTTCCTGCCCCTCGCATCAGATTCCTCCAGAGCACAAAGCTATGGTGCACAGCTTCTGCCCCCAGACACCAAGTCTTCCGTCCTGGCAACTGCTCCTGCTGTTGCTTCCCAAAACCCCCCTCCTTTTCAAAGGCCAAGGCAGTGCACCATCTGCCAGGTATCTGGGTGTTCCTACCTTCCTCTGGAAAACAAGCCCAAACTCACGCAGATGTTGCAGGAAATTCAACAGAGAATCACTCATACCCTCCACAGAATAATCCTGAGGAAGAGCAGTAATCAGCTGGGGCCCAAAGCACACCCCATTCTCACTGCCCAGTTCCGTTACACTCAGTCAGTCTCCCCACCTCTGGTTCACACTTTGTTCACTCGTATGCCCACTCTGTTGGCTCACCTCTCTACCAGTCTTGCCCACCCATGCCCCCAACTCCAGCCCCCACTTACCTTGCCCAGAGTAGAGAAGCTGAGTTGGAAGAGGAAGGAGAGAATCTCCACCAGGTCCATGCCCCGACTCTAGGAAGGCAGGAGCAGAAATCAAAAGGGGCGGGATGCGAGGGAGAAAAGAAAGGAGGGGACAGGGAACAGGCTCTGCAGACAGTGTCTGGTGTATGCTGAGGTAAGCAGGGTGCGCCCGCAGGCAGCCCTGGCCTCCTCACCTGGGCTGTCTGCAGATACTGTAACATGAAGTACCAGAGCTGGGCAGGGGTGTCCAGAAGCAGAAACTGGAAGCCGGCAGAGGTAATGCAGGGTGGCTCTCCGGGCTCGGCACTAGAGACGCAGAGGGCCAACAGTGGGAGTGGGCAGGGCGAGGCCACCACCCGCTTGTCCTGCCGCTTTTTCTTAAGTCTGGCTGGCTGTCCTCCAGTCAGCTCTCCTTTTCCAACCAGTGCTCTCCAATGTCGACCTGCCCTGGACACAGGCTAGGAGGGACATGGGGAGACAGCAAAACGGGGCAGTTGTGCCTCGGGCCTCCTTACCTCTTCATGAGCCCAGCCTGGCTGAGGAGCTGAGCCAAGTCCTGGCTGACAGCTGCACTGGGGGAGCCCACCATGAAGTGCAGGACTACCTGAGAACAGAAGAGAATAAGGGATGAGCGCCTCCCAGGGTCGTGGAAACAGGGACGCCAGCAGAGCCACACAGCCCCAAGTCCTCACCTCCCATCGCTCCTCTGCATACTTGTCAAGAGAGGGCACATCCCTGGCATGCTTGTCTGGTCCGAGTTGACTTGTGTCATCAGACCAGGCCTTCCCCCTGAGTTCGGGACAGGGCAAGAGTGAGGCGCCCTGCTGCTATCCCTTGCCAGATCCTCTGCCCTCCTTCCCTCATCCCACACAAATGGGAGATACGCAGTTATATCTGGGCCCACTTACTCCTAAAGGAGTTCCCAGGGGTGGGACCCACCAGTTCCCAGGGAGGGCCCTCAGGAGCTTCCCCTCCAGCAGTTTAATGACTAGCTCCCCCAGACCCGCCTAGGAAGAGATGGAGGTGACATACCCACCCAGAAGCGCGATGCGGAGGTTCTGGCGGAAGACGGGGTTGAGGATGAGGCCCTGAAGCCCACCAGGGAGCAGCTGAGTGTGCCAGATTCGGAGGCCACTCAGCAGCCCTGTACTTTCCTCCTGGGCTCTGGAATGAAGCAGAAAGGTGAGCGGGGCATCTGATGAATGAAAAGAAGGCTCACAGAGGCCTCCATGTTTGTGTTTTCTGAAAGGGTGGTCTTTGGAACATTTTCACAACGTGAACTCAGTCTTCTTGAGGCAGATTTTTTTACTGCAGGGCCTACACGTGCCTTCTTCTAGACCTTGCAACACTCCAAGAGGGAAAAGACAGTATGCTGAGTTTCCAAAATTTACTGACAAGTTCTGTGTATCCATTAATTTTGCCTGGAATCAAGCAACTTAAGGACTCGAGCTATTGGGAAGTGTGTATCTGGCTGAGAATGCAGCAGAGACTCACTTGCTGAATTCCTTCTTCACCCAGAGGGCTACAGCAGCTTGTGGCAAAGGCTGCTCCAGGAAGAGCATCCGCATCACCCAGTTCTTGGCCAGAGATGGGAGCTCTCTGTGTGCAGACAGAGGTAAAATGTCAGTATCAGAAATGTCTTAGAGCTGCGCTCTGCCTTCAGTGCCTCTCAAGCATCTCATCTCACAACCCACAAACTCTACCTGTTTTGGCCTGACACACTTTAATCTCCAAGTAACCCAGGGCTACGTTACTACCCAGGATAACTTGCTTAAGTCTGTAGGTGACATTACATTTTCCCACCGCGGTCCCTGCTAGGAAGGGGGAACTCACCTGAAGACTGCCAGGCAGGTGGCAGGGTGCCCATATAACCGGTCCAGTATCCCAGGGCTCAGACCCCCTAGGAATTCCTGCAGATTTCTACATTGAAGGTGTACCCGGTTCAATCCACCCCTTAAGGGGGTGCTCTCCATAACCTGTGAGATACAAGTGTTAGAAACTCACCCTTGCAATGCAAGTATCCCCCTTCCATTACCTTTCTCTTTTCTACTCCAGATCCACTGGCCTCCACAATAACCTATCTTTTCTATGGTTTCCTTTCCCTGTCACGCAACACTTGTTTCTCCCAACCACCCACCTTTCCAACTTTTCACCCCACTTCTGCCCTCAACTCCAGTCTTCCTTCAATTTCCAAGTGACGTTATTGTTAATAATCCCACATTTGCAAAATCATTTTGCAAGTCATTTCATTGACTCGTCTCATCTTTAGCTGAGTAGCGACAAAGAAATTTGTTTGAGCCTGGTCCTCCTTTCCACCTCTCCTGGTCTCCTCCTTTTATTCCCCAAATCAATTCACTCACTTATCCCGACCTCCACTGTCAGACCCCTAGCTTCTCCAGTACTTTCCTGTCGTTCCTCCATTCTCACTGAGCTCTCCCTCCCCCTATAATCCCTCCGCCACACCCTCTCCAGGACCCCTACCACTCTGCCGCGATCCCCTCTCGTGCACCCCGAGCCTCAAGCCGTCGCTTAATCGAAGCCAATGTCTCGCAGTGGCTCCCAGGAATAGGAGAAAAAATGGTGATCAAAGAGGAGAGAAAGATGGGAAGAGGACTGAAGGCGTTTCACAGACAGGAGCCCACAGTGGAGGATCAGAAGAGTAGGAAGGCAGGCAAGAGCGGCGAAAGTAGGAAGGGTAGGAACAGGCGCTGCACTTACCCGCCGCGAGGCACACTGGGAACTGGAGTCTTGTCCTAACCCATCCCTGAACAGGCTGAAGGTCGTCGGACTACAATTCCCAAAAGGCACCGCGAGAAAGCCGATCGGATTGGCGCTGGCTTTCGGTTAAAAGAGCCGGCGACAGCGGAGGTTGGGCCACTTGGTTCCGAGTCGCTTTCCGACCTGGCTGCTAACGCCCACCCACCTGGCAGGGAGAGAGCCCCGGAGCGTCCGCCGCGGGCCCTGCGCAAGTGCAGAGACGTCTGTGGGGTGAGGTGCTTAGAGACCCGCGACACTGGGTTCCTTGAGTTCAGCTGCTCGCTGTAAAATTGTAACTGGTCACGCCAGCTGATTTCGCGAATTAGGCGGTCCAGGGGCTTACGCGGCACCGAGGCGCTCGCTCGATGAGTCCTGATTGCCGCGCCACCCTCCTGCCACCCCGTTTCTTAGAAAATCTTCATACGAAAAAGAAAGAAAATCTTAATGCTGTTTTTAAGAGTATTAAATGTTTGGTATTTCGTTTATTTAGCCACTGCTGTGAAGGAGAAGGAATCGTCTGGACCCGAGGCCAGAAGCACACGTCTCCCAGCTTCCAACCAGGCAGGTTTTGTTATTTCCACCTGACAGCCCAGTCTGAGTGAGAATAAGAAACGCGCCCACCCTCAGAACTAAGCCCCCAAAGTGGCATTTTTAAGTACATTTGGGAAGGACCAGGGACCAAAACAATAAGGACCGTGTAAAACCGGGTTACATTTTTGTAGCTCGTTTATGTTTGTTTTATCGTCCCATTTCTTCAGCAATCAATGTTTAAATCCTCAGAGAATGCCACAAAATTGATAAAATTTATTGATAGCAAATATTAAATAAAGTTAAAAGACAAATTACAGGACCCTCCCTGGTGGCCAGCAGGTAAAAGCCGCCAAAAGCCCTGCACTTAGAAGCTAAAGCCACTTCCGCATGAGTTCAATTCCCGCCTGCCCTGGAGGTGACCACATGGCATGGGAGACCTCTCCTGACCCGCCCGCTGCTCCCCTCAGCAGTGTACTTTGTCATCTGCCTGTTCTGCTCCCCACTCTGTCTCCGGTGAATCCTTTTACCGCCCCTGCACATCTGGCCTGTACCCTCATTCTGTATGCACAAATAAATAAATCTTTAAAAAGGGCAAATTACAGACTGCAAAGAAATATTTGATAAAGTAGGTAAAATACAAAGCACTCTTACAAAACAAAAACACCACTACAGTTGAAAGACTGGCAAAAGAGGTAGGCAATAAACATTAGAAATACAAATGCCTTACAACCAAGTGAAGCAGCTCTCAACTTCACTGGCAACTAAAGAAAAATAAACTAAAGAAGCAGTAAACTATCCAAGTAGGAAAAAAGTAAGTATTGACAACCTCGATATTGGCCTCCAATAAGGAGCATACTCCAGCTTTTATTACAGGTTGGCATAAACATGCCTTTTAATGGCAGTTTGGCAGTATACACCAATGATTTTTTTTTTTAAGATTTATTTATTCATTCAAAACTGGGGTACAGGTCGAAGGCACAGGGGCAGTGAGAGGATTCACCAGAGACAGAAGGGGGAGCAGAACAGGCCAACTGACGAAGTACACTGCTGAGGGGAGCAGCGGGCAGGTCAGGAGAGGTCTGCTGTGCCATGTGGTCACCTCCGGGGCTTGGGATCGAACTTGCACTGAAGTGGTTGCAGCTCGTTTGCAGCGCTTCACTTTAACCCATTGCACCACCAGGGAGGGCCCATACACCAATGGTTTTTTTTTAAGATTTACTTATTTATTCATATAGAACTGGGGTAGACCAGAGGTGCAAGGGTGGTGAGAAGATTCACCAGAGACAGAGTGGGGTGCAGAACAGGTAGATCAATGAAGTACACTGCTGAGGGGAGCAGTGTCAGGCGAGGTCTGCTGCACCATGTGGGTCACCTCCCTGGCCAGGACTTGAACTGGTGCTGAAGCAGCGTTAGCTTCTTTGTGCTATGCTATAACCTGTTGTGCCACCAGGGAGGGCCCTACACCAATGATTTTAATGTGCTATCCTTCATCTAGCAACTCTCCCCTTTAGGGACATGTCATAAGGAAAGTTTCCACAGGGGTACAGAGGTATACATGGAAAGACAGTTACTGAATTGTGTATGTTATATTATGGAAACAGACCAGTGTCCATTGTTGGGAGCTGGTAAAATGAGGGTCATTGCAACTGCATAGAATACTGGGCTGCACAGAGTGGAGGCCACTGTCTGCAGTCTGCGTGCTGGCCTAAAGCCATCTAAAACTGGTCACGAGGGGAGAAAAGCAGATTACAAAACGACATATTCATAGTCCAACAGTCTTTGCAAGAAACATTTATGTCTGTAAAATCCAAATAAGTCATGCTTCATTTCAAAGGTAGCAAGCCCTGGAGAGCTGGGCTTTCCCTGATTCCCAGCAATGCAGGGGAAACTAAGGCGTGTCCAGAACAGGAGCTGCTAGCCACCTGTGCCTATTTACCTTTAAATTAACTAAAATAAAATTTTAAAGTCAGTTCTTCAGTCACACCAGTCCCATTTTAGCTACGCAGTTACAGGCCATCACCTCGGAGATCAGGAATTCTCTTGGAGATCCGACTATAAGGATGAGAGGCCTCCATGGCCTGTCAAGGGGTTCAAACCGCAGCACTATGAGGCTGTCTGCAGTGAGTTCCATCCCCAGCTAGGGAGCTGACCCACAGGGTACAGCAGACCTTTCCTGACCATGCCCACTGCTCCCCTCAGCAGTACATTTCTATTTCAGTCCATTCTACCTGTTCTGCTCCCCACTGTCGCTGGTGAATCCTCTCACCCACTCCAGCACCTCTGGCCTATACCCTAGTACTTGTAAGCATAAATAAATCTTTTTTAAGTGCTACCGATGAAAGGGGCCGGAGCTGCATAAAGGAGAGCTCGGGAAGGACATCTGAGCGGTGGGGGGAGGAGCAAACTGGCCAGGCAGGGCTCCTTCTTTATTGTGAAGTCACTGAGAAGCCTCTAAAGGTTGTTTGAGGTGAGCTGGAGGGGGTGGGGGCGGTTAGGGGCTCAGAGCTAGGTGTTTTAAAGATCACTCTGGTCGAAGGGCTAAAACCAGCCAGAGGTACAGACCCTGAGAGGCCCCTGCAGTAGTGCAGACACCACGGAGGAAGCAAGCTTGTGCAGGATGGTGGCAGAAAGCAGCGGAGTGAGATTTAAGGGGAATCTGGGGTGCCAAATCAACAGAGCTCATGAAGAATTGGGCCTGGGAGCTGAGAGTCTGGGGAGGCAGCACGGCTGATTCTCCGGGTCTGGTGGCTGCCAAGTGGAGGCTGCTGCCATTTGCTGAGTCAGGAAGCCACCAAGGAGCAGGTTTGAACTCGCTGAGATTGGAGTTCAGGTGAGCCCTAGGCGGTTCCAGAGGTCTAGTGCTTAAGCATTCAGAGCTTCACCCCTGCTCACTCACCACTCACGGCCGCCCTGTCTGTGCCTGTCTTAAAGCGGGTCACAGTGGGCTGACCTGTGTGTCAGCTCTTACATCTGTGACCTGTATCCCAGGGGCCTATGAATTCACCCGAAGATTAAATCATCTTTATTGTTCTCTTCATTATCCACTTGGCTCGTTTTGTGAATATCATCAACCAGGACCCCAGGGTCTCTGTTTCACATGAGCTGCCAATAAGATGAGTCTATCTTTACCAATAATTGCAACTGATTTTTCTTTCTAACCAAGTTTGCATTCTTTATTAAATGTTCTCTTGGTGGTTGTGGCTCATTCTTCTAGGATTCCGAGATAATTAGGCTCTTGGTTCTGGCTCTTGGCCAAACAGCTCGCATCTTTGAGGTCATTTGCACATTTGATCATCCTAATTCAGAATTTTCCACCTGAGACACCTGGACTCTCAAGGGGGTCCTAGAATGTGAGCAAGACAAAAGGATATACACTTGTATTTTTATTAACCTCTGACATTTATCATAAATATGAACCCCCCATTGTATTAGCAGTATCTGTGATGTCACCAGAAGACACCTCAGCTATTTTCTTTTTTTCTTAAGATTTATTTATTTATGCATGTACAACTGGGGTACAGGCAAGAGGTGCAGGGATGGTGAGAGGATCCAGCAAGAGACAGAGCGGGGAGCAGAACAGGCAGATTGACGAAGTACACTGCTGAGGGGAGCAGCGGGCAAGACAGGAGAGGTCTGCTGCGCCATGTGGGTCACCTCCCTAGCCGGAAATCAAACTAATGCTGCAGTGGCAAAAGCTTCATCATGCTCAGACTTAACCCCTGCACCACCAGGGAGGCCCATCTCAGCTATTTTCTATCCCATGACAGTGTAGAAACCTCAGGAGATCACTTATACTTACTATTTGGAAATGTTAGCAGTTATTATATCTGTGTTAGTCTTGTTATTTAAAAGCATATGCTGCCATGTTGTAATTAAAAATATGTATTTTGATAAACTCTTTTCGATTGATTTCTTCTGTAGTCCTACTTCTGTGGGTTTTAAAACAATCCTGAAGAGGAATCAGTATCTTCAGACTACCAAAGAGGGGTACGGGTCAAACCAGGGCTTATGGAAAAACAACAGTATGATGAGAAAAATACATGAAAGGAAATAGAATAGGAAAGAGAGGGTACAGGGGGTAAGGATGAAAGGAGAAGGGGGGAAGATCTTACCAAAACCCCAAGAAACCCACTCACAGCTGTGGAAAACTGAACCTTTTATTACCTGCCTAGTGCAGGGGATTAAAATTGCATTGAGCTAGATCCATATATTAGTGTAAAAATCTGTGTCTCTCCCCCCAAAAAATGTACAAACCCCAAGTGATTATAGAAAAAACAAGGTGGTAGCTACAACAGAGATGTCCAACCCCAGGGCCACAGACCTTTGCCCCCTCTTCCCCCGATCCCAACATTTATTCCGCAGAAACATACAGGCCTAGA